AGGGCAACTTGAATTTGGCTGAAATTTGAGATCTCTTAGATTTTTCTTGGGCTCTAGCGGCGTCTAGAGATTTGGGAGAGAGAAATCCTCCTCTCAAATATAAGATCAATTGTATCTTGCTATTTTCCGTTTTCTTTAATCAAATAATACAAATTATCTTCTATTTTCGTGATTTTGTGGAGAACTCTCGTTGTTTTCCGAAGATTGATAGGAAATACTTGAGATCTACAAGTGTTTCCTATCATAAGCCTTCAATTATAATTAGAATTATGCTTAATTACTAAATATAATGAAATAGCACCTATTCTATCTCTTTCTCTACTTTCTATCGACAGTTTTTCAAGCGATAAATTATATATATATATATATATATATATATATATATATATATAAAGACTAAGTGATGCAAATCAAGTTGGTCATAATGAGCATGCACATGAAAATGAAGCTCAAGATCCTTTGTTGTTTCCTAGTAGCCTAGTTATAAGATTCAGAATTAAATGTTTCAAGCACTTTATAAATTGAAGAGAAATGAGTTGATCCTAAAAAGAGCCAGATGGATTCAATTAGTCAAAGTCTAGTCCATGTCATCAAAATAATTTTAGCGGTTAATCTGTATGGACTTTCATAACCAATAAAGAGGTAATTAAAGAGGCTCATTAATAAATATGTATTTACTAAGTTTCAAGGATATTAAATGGGAAATAGACTTGGCAATGACTGACCATTTGTGGCAACTTATTTTGTAGTTTAGGATGTTTAAATACATCGAATCTTGTCACTTAACTTTTTTTATTTTTGTTAAAACCCTCCTACGGGCCTACGCGTTAATATCGGGAAAAAGTTACAAAGTCCTTAAAGGGACCTCTAGCTCACTACTGCTCCGAAGAGCTACAATCAAAATAAAAAAGAAGCCTAAGAGCTGGAGGTCCCTACTAATCAAAATTACATAATAATCTAGCAACATTCTAAGAAACAAAAAAAAAAAGGGTAAGATAATCACTTTCAGCATAGCCCTTCCAACAGCATTCGTATCCTTCACAAAACGAGTGTGGAGCTCCAAAAACCTAAAAAAAAGGCCTGCAAGGATACTAAAGCAAAAATAAAGCAACCAATAATAAAGTATACCAAAATGAAGATATAAGAGATTAGTCAGGCTCCATGGTTTGTAAAAATTAGCCCCATTGGAATACCTGCAGCCAAGAATCCAAAGCCTCACGGGTGTAACATTTCAGCCATAAAAGTTATACCCACAAATATAATACTCAATTTCCTTCCAGGCATCCACCGGACAACAAAGATGCCCCAAATAAAAAGCCCAATTATAAAGCAGAAAGGGAATATTCAAATTCAGATCCGAAATAGAGTTAAAACTGCCCTAACTACCATAGCAAACGAACACCGAGACTTCAACATCAGATAAAACAATCCAATTTGAGAAAGATTGAAAATTGCTGTTATGCCTATTACCAACAATCCCCACATTGTTGACCAACAGAAAATTGAAGCACTCACGGGTCACAACAACCAGACAAAAATCATTGAGATCAGACACTAAGTACTCAACAGAAAAAGAATTATGTAACAAGGAGAGACGAACCGAATCAGCCACCCGCAAAGAACCAAAAATAGCAAGCATGAACAGGCGAATAATCCCGCAGATATAAGATAAAGACAAATTAATTAAATCGGATATACGGAAATCCCATCTGATCCAACTTGATAAGCCCCTTGATATCCCTGGGTAGAGAATTATCATTAAAATGCAGAAAATCAGTCATGGAACACTCCATCTTAGCTAAGCCATCAGCCACCGCATTCCCCTCTCGTAAAATATGAGATAGAGAGTAGTTTATAGGAGAGAAACAATGCTTAATGTCTCTAACTTTGTAAAAAATAGTTGGGTTTGAAATTGAATTTCCATTAATATAATGAAGTAAAAGCAAGGCATCAACTTCCACCCAAATGTTAGTAATGCCAAGAGAAGAACGTAATTGAATCCCATACAAGAGGCTATCAGTTTCAGCTTGAACAGCATTAGTACCAGAAGACGGGCCAGCATAAGCCGCAACAACCATACCATTATAATCACGAATAATGCAACCACAGCCAGCCGTGCTGTTATTATAAGAGCCATCCATATTTAGTTTAAAACAGCCATAAACAGGGCGCTTCCAATAAACCAATTTCTCAGTTTTGATGATAAGCTGAACAATAAACTTCAAGCCTAAATCATTAGCAGCAGGAATGCAATTCTTAAAGGAGTCAACAGTAATTAACTTCGCCACAAAGAGTTGAAGAACCTTGTTCTTCACTTTAGCAATAACATTCAAAGCATTCATCCCAATATTCTCATGTTTGGAATTATTCCGGATTTCCCATAAATACCAACAGATAATAATAGGGATTAAATTTCTAATATGACCTTTGATAGGAAGAAACCAATCTTTAAGCAAAGAAGTAATCGAATCATAATGAAAAGAGGTAATCACATTGAAGATATTGTCAAAGTAAATCCACACTTTAGTAGCAATAGGGCCATTGATGAAAACATGGTTAAGATTTTCGATATGGTAGCAGCATTGGCACTTAGAAACAATAATCAAACCTTTTTTCATCAAAATAAAGTCAACAGGTAAATAGTTGTGTAAAATTCTCCAAAGTAAAAAGGAGTAAAGAGGAGGAATATTAGCATGCCAAATAACATCATAAATAAAGTTTTTAGGCAGGATTTGTCTGATCGAGTTCCACACAAATTTAGTGACAGACCGGCCATCATTGGAACGATTAAATAAAATGCAGTCCTCTCCCCCCCCCCCTATAAATAGAAATCATAGTAATTAAACTAATGATGGTACCAGGAATCATATTAGCAAGCATGTTCAAATTCCAAGTGTCATTAATAAAGAACTTTTTGACTTTAATATTAGACGTGGAATGAGTGTTTAAAAGGCTGTCAATAGAAAAATTAACCAGCCACTTATCCTGCCAAAAGTAAATGTTCCCAACGCCAAACCCCATTGAATGAACTCTTTGGCTTCCCACTTGATATTGCAAAGCCTTTTCCAATTGAAAGAATCTCCTGGTTTGTAGCAACAATTTAAAGGATGATTAATACTACAGTATTTGGTAGTCATAAAATTAGCACATTAACTTTTATTGGATCTAAAAGAAAACCAGAATTTATGGTTAAAAGATTTGACCATCTCAATCAAGGTACGAAAGCCAAGTCTGCCCTCATCCTTATTCCCTGCACAATTAGTCCAAGAGCTCCAGTGGATGGAACGATTACCATCTTTAGAGCCCCAAAAGAACTTATTAAAAATAATTTCCATTTTACTACATATATGATTAGTGGGGCATAAAGTATGCATTAGATAGATAGGAATGGAATCTTGTCACTTAGTATGAATCTTCTCACTTTGTTATTTAAAAAATGCAAGGACGTTTATTTTTGTTATTGTTTATGCTGTTTTAAAGATATATTAATATGTTTACTAATCTTCGAGGGTTATTGCAAGTATAGATATGCCTTATTACAAATTTGATAGGTATTTTTAGAAAAATATATTCTTGTAAGATTTTATGTTCTTCTAGGTTCTTAAAAGAGCAACATAATGTATCTTTGAATGCCGAGATTTATTATACCAATGTTTATCATATCTTTTGTTATAGCCTCTAGCATGTAGACAATCAGAAGGCTCTCCCAACTATTTTCTTCCGTAATATGGGTATCGACCTATATAAGGACAGAATTATCTAGGTTCTCGATAGTATGGAGGATGTTTAAACTACTCTCTATAAGGTCTTATTAAAAATTTTTTATTCTAGGGATGAATTGCATTTGAGAAAATAACTTAAGTGATAGATTTCCTCAATCTTCACTGTAGATTTTTGGCTTTGATAGCCTTCAGTATTTTATATACCTTAGAAGAGGCAGATTCCTCTTCTTTAGCGGTAGTGGATCTTGACGTGAAGTATCCCAGAAAAACTTCTTTAATTGATCCTTATCATCATTTCTCTTTACCCACTTTAATGGTACTAAACCATTATTGGTGGGTACATTTGCCTCTAGCTGCAGTAATGATTCTTAAAGTATATTTGGCATCCAGCCATTAGCTCGTAAGTGAGCATTGACCTTTCTTCTGACCTTCCTGGAAAGCTTAGCACTTAAATCAGGAACTTCAGCTTTGTACTGTTTAAGCACTTCATCCTGAATTATGTTCTGACTAGTTGTACTCACCCTAGAAGATTGTAGCTTATTATTAGGAACTTTCATTTGAATTATTGGAGAAATAACAGGTTTCATGGAGAGTCTTGAAAATAAAGAGGCCCTCTTGGGAGCCTACTCATCAACAACTTTAGTAGTAGACTTCTTAATGACACATTTGATAGTATGTATGCTAACAGTATTCTCAGGAAGGAACTGTTGAAACTGCATGACTTTGGAAATAGTTCTAAATTGAATGATTACTCCAGCATAGCCTGTGTTCTGAACTGCTTGAGGGAACTGCAATTTTGCTCCCTCACTTAGGTTCATAATCATTAAGAACTTCATAGACGTCATATTATCATTCTACCAACAAAACTTGTAGGCATTAGAGTCAACCTAAATTCTGCTGTGAAAGAAAACACAGGCTTTTGATGAATAAATATCTATAATTAATTTTAGATATTTGATAATTAAGACTAACAATTCTCTTTCCATCCAAAGATGGAAAGAAAAGTAATCCCTAGCTGAGTAGTTAGAAATTTGTTGGCTGAAGAAATATGCCACGAATGTATGAATCCCGCTTTGCAGTTGTAGGATTCCATTGAGAGTATTGTCAGGGTTTAAATATCTGTGGGTTTTACATCACATGAGCGCAAACACTCATTATTAATTACCACTTTTAACACGTAAGAGAAAATTCTCGATTAAGGATGAAATAATTTTTAGATAATTTTAGTCTCAATAGTGCAGGAAATGGAGGTAAACCTGATCAAGATTCCATGATTCCGACGTCTCGGGTAGATCATAGATTTCAGTCTACGAACATTAACAATCATTGACCGTAGTGTCCAGGAATCTGATTAGCAGTCATGGGTAGCCACCACTTAGAGATCCTAAACAGACAAAAATGGTTAGATGTGGTTTTAACTATATTAAGTGTTTTGGAGTTTACATTTATTAGAATACCCAGAAATTGATTTAGTTTGGGATTTATGACTTCATTTAGAAGTAATCTAGGAGTTTGAATTAGAGCGGGTCTTATAGGTTCTTTAGGAAGTAGCCCAGGTGTTTTGATTTAGATTTAGGTTGGAACTTATGACTTTCGTAGAAAGTAGCTCGAGGATTTAAATTTAGGTTGGAACTTATGGCTTTCGTAGATAGTAGCCAAGGTATTTAATTTGGAATGGGGCTTATTGCTCTATTTATGAGTTGTACGAAGATGGGTCTAACAACCTATTTCTATAGCATGGCTGGCCAGGAATTTTAATTGTTTGGGCAGGTCTTATGATTTCCCTTAGGAAGTTTACTAAAAAGCGGGTCTTACATCTTAATCTTTTAGGCTAAGATGCCTATGAAATTTGTGTGTTTTGTAGAAGAGCATATAATAGAAATTTTGCATAATTTTGACATGGGATTAGTATCATAATTACTATATTTCAAAGCATTATTTAAATATGAAATTATCTCTTGAGGATTTTGCCTTGATTTTCAATAAGAGTTGTTCGTGTGATTAGATTTATGTAGGGACTTATGGCTTTCATTTGAAAATGTCCCAGTTAGTAGGACTCATGGCCTCTACCAGAGGTAGCCTGCATATTTTAGTTCGATAGGTCTTAGTGCTTCCTTAGAAATTGCCCAATAATGGGACTTACAACCTAATCCGGTAAGCTAAGTGGCCCGATTTGAGGGTCTTACAACCAAGTACTATAGACTAGGATGCCCAGGTGAGGGATCTAAGGTCGTGTTTTTACCTAAATATTTTTCTCGGAGGTTAGACTTATGACTTCTATTAGAAGTAACTGTTGTTTTAATTGGGGGTTAGGAGTTAGCTCAATTTAACCTAAAACTTTCACCTAAGGTCGGGCTTACATCTTTCTTTTGAAAGTTGTCGGGTAGTGGGCCTTACAACCAAGTTCTTATAAATAAGGCTGCCCAATGATTTTATTAAGATTTGATTTTATGTTTGTTGAGTTCACATAAGTTGTTTGACACTTAGTGTTTTACTGAAGTACTTTGCTACACTAGTATTTTTACCATAATACTTTTCTTTTTTACTATTTGATAGATTCTTTTCATTACATGTGTACTAGTAGCATTTTCTATTTTAGCATTTATTTGAAAATTGAATTATTCCAATGTTTAATGAACTTTACTCTTTTTTGTAGGGATCTCAGACAGGAGAGTTGGAGCCTTATTGTGGAGAGCTTTTTGAGTGTTTTAAAGTTGATAGTTGAGTTGTTGTTGAAAAGTTTGGAGATTGAATTTTAATTGTTGTTGGAGAGTTTGAGAGTTTGTGTTTGAACTTTTGTTGGAGAGTTTGAGAGTTTGTGTTTGAACTTTTGTTGGAGAGTTTGAGAGTTTTTTTGTTTCAGAGGAATTTGGAGAGCAATATGTACAGATGTTTATTGTGTTGTATAGTACAGTACTTAAAGAGTTATTCTATACTTATTTGAGTTGTGAGCAGTCTGTACAGAGCTTGTAGAGTTGGAGAGCTGTTGTTTGGAGAGGAGAGTATCATTTATGTATGTTAATTAGTAAAAAAATATATTTTTATTAAATTTTATTTTATATTTGCTTAGTTGATTAATTAATTAATTAACTAATTCATCAGATTAAATGTCAAAACACTTGAATTTTAAAACTTTTGAATGTTTAATGCCCTCGTATTTTAACAACTCCATAATTTTAAAAGTTTTTGTATTTTAAATAGCTCATGGATTTGAAATGTTCTCAAATTTAAAATGCTCTCCAATTTGAAATGATTTTGTATTTTAGATATCTCCTGAATTTTATATAATTAATTAATCAATTAATTTCAATTAATTTTGATTAATTAATTTTAAATATTTTTAATTGATTAATCAAAAATTCAAATTTAATTTCTCTATAATTACTCCAAAATGTTTTGTAATTTTCCTGAAATTTTGATAGCCTCCTGGTATCCCCTCCCCTCCGAGGGAGAAATTGGGACAGCGCATGCCATAGTTTCTTTCAATCCAAACCTACGGTCGACACCATAGGGTATTTGATCTGGAACCATCCTGGCTGGATCTAAGATACTACAGCCTGGGGTCTTCAAATTTAAAACCATCCGCCCAGATCTAAGATTGATGGTGCGGGTCTTCGAATTTTAACCATCTTAGCTGGACTTAAAGTTGACGACCCGAGGTCTTCGACACTTATTTAAAAAATCCCATCATCCATTCTTTGTTCTCTTTTTTCATTCTTTCTTTTCTTCTTTTTTATTATAATATATATAATATTATATTATTTTTAATATAACATATATAATATATTATGATATAATATATAATGTTATATTTTCATATTATAATATATATAATTTATAATATAATAAAGGGAGAGAGGGAGCCTGATCAGGTGGGCTAGGGCACGCACAAGGGACTGGAGAAGCTACTTGTGCAATCTCTGTGCTTCCTGTGAACCAAAGTGGGACAACAAGAAAATAGCCGAAGAAGCAACGGTGCAATCTCTGAACCTACTGCGAAGTAATGAAGATGAACAACAACGAGGGAGCAAAAAAAGCGACAGTGCAATATTCACACCTCCTATGAATCAACGATGATGAACAACAATGAAGGAGTTGGAGGAGCGATGCGTGCAATCTCTGCAGTCCAGTAAAGCTACAAAGATGAATAGCAACAAAGGAGTCGAAGAGCGGCTCGTGCATTCTCTACACTCCTGCGAAGAAAGGAAGTCGAACAACAACGATGAAAAGAGAAGATGAAAGGCAAAACCTAAACACCTCCTACGAAGCAACGAAGTCTCACAGCAATGTCGAAGGAGTGTGTTTTTGAATTTGATCTCATAAGCTTTGCTTATTCTCCTTTTTATTAATCAAAATCAAT